AAGACACACCAAACTACAAAGAGACACACCAAAGACACACCAAACTACAAAGAGACACACCAAACTACAAAGAAACACACCAAAGACACACCAAACTACAAAGAGACACACCAAAGACACACCAAACTACAAAGAGACACACCAAAGACACACCAAACTACAAAGAGACACACCAAAGACACACCAAACTACAAAGAGACACACCAAAGACACACCAAACTACAAAGAGACACACCAAACTACAAGAAACACACCAAAGACACACCAACTACAAGGAGACCCACCAAACTACAAAGAGACACACCAAAGACCCACCAAACTACAAAGAGACACACCAAAGACACACCAAACTACAAAGAGACACACCAAAGCACACCAAACTACAAAGACACACCAAAACACACCAAACTACAAAGAAACACACCAAAGACACACCAAACTACAAAGAGACACACCAAACTACAAAGAAACACACCAAAGACACACCAAACTACAAAGAGACACACCAAACTACAAAGAGACACACCAAAGACACACCAAACTACAAAGAGACACACCAAACTACAAAGAGACACACCAAAGACACACCAAACTACAAAGAGACACACCAAACTACAAAGAAACACACCAAAGACATACCAAACTACAAAGAGACACACCAAACTACAAAGAGACACACCAAAGACCCACCAACTACAAAGAGACACACCAAGACACACCAAACTACAAAGAGACACACACACCAAACTACAAAGAGACACACCAAAGACCCACCAAACTACAAAGAGACACACCAAAGACACACCAAACTACAAAGAAACACACCAAAGACACACCAAACTACAAAGAAGCACACCAAAGACACACCAAACTACAAAGAGACACACCAAACTACAAAGAAACACACCAAAGACACACCAAACTAGCAAGAGACACACCAAACTACAAGAGACACACCAAACTACAGAGACAAAGACACCAAGAACACCAAACTACAAAGAAACACACCAAAGACACACCAAACTACAAAGAGACACACCAAACTACAAAGAAACACACCAAAGACACACCAAACTACAAAGAGACACACCAAAGACCCACCAAACTACAAAGAGACACACCAAAGCACACCAAACTACAAGAGACACACCAAACTACAAAGAGACACACCAAAAGACACACCAAACTACAAAGACACACCAAACTACAAAGAACACACAAAGACACACCAAACTACAAATAGACACCCCAAACTACAAAAGACACACCAAAGACCCACCAAACTACAAGAGACACACCAAAGACACACCAAACTACAAGAGACACACCAAACTACAAAGAGACACACCAAACTACAAAGAGACACACCAAACTACAAAGAGACACACCAAACTACAAAGAAACACACCAAAGACCCCAAACTACAAAGAAACACACCAAAGACACACCAAACTACAAAGAGACCCACCAAACTACAAAGAGACACACCAAAGACACACCAAACTACAAAGAGACACACCAAAGACACACCAAACTACAAAGAAACACACCAAAGACACACCAAACTACAAAGAAACACACCAAAGACACACCAAACTACAAGAGACACACCAAACTACAAAGAAACACACCAAAGACACACCAAACTAGCAAGAGACACACCAAACTACAAAGAGACACACCAAACTACAAAGAGACACACCAAAGACACACCAAACTACAAAGAAACACACCAAAGACACACCAAACTACAAAGAGACACACCAAACTACAAAGAAACACACCAAAGACACACCAAACTACAAAGAAACACACCAAAGACACACCAAACTACAAAGAACACACCAAAGACACACCAAAGACACACCAAACTACAAAGAAACACACCAAAGACACACCAAACTAGCAAGAGACACACCAAACTACAAAGAGACACACCAAACTACAAAGAGACCACACCAAACTACAAAGAAACACAACCAAAGACACACCAAACTACAAAGAGACACACCAAACTACAAAGAAACACACCAAAGACACACCAAACTACAAAGAGACACACCAAACTACAAAGAAACACACCAAAGACACACCAAACTAGCAAAGAAACACACCAAAGACACACCAAACTAGCAAGAGACACACCAAACTACAAAGAGACACACCAAACTACAAAGAGACACACCAAACTACAACGAGACACACCAAACTACAAGAGACACACCAAACTACAAAGAGACACACCAAACTACAAAGAGACACACCAAACTACAACGAGACACACCAAACTACAAAGAGACACACCAAACAAAGAGACACACCAAACTACCAAGAGACACACCAAACTACAAAGAGACACACCAAAGACACACCAAACTACAAAGAGACACACCCAAAGACACACCAAACTACAAAGAGACACACCAAAGACACACCAAACTACAAAGAGACACACCAAAGACACACCAAACTACAAAGAGACACACCAAAGACACACCAAACTACCAAGAGACACACCAAACTACAAAGAGACACACCAAACAAAGAGACACACCAAACTACCAAGAGACACACCAAACTACAAAGAGACACACCAGACTACAAAGAGACACACAATGACTACAAAGAGTAGACTTCTTCTCCACTGAGTTGTGTGTCTCTCTCCCACAATGCACCTGGAGCCTGTGATCTGGTTAATTGAAAGGCTCGTTATGAAGTGTTGACACTGAGATCATCATCATCATCATCACCATCATATATGTGCATGTGAAGTTAAATGTGTTTCTGTTTTTTGTCCAATCAGACGGAGCGACTGAGGGCAGGGGGCGGAGCACTGGACGACAAACGTCGGCTGGAGGCGGAGCTACAGCTGCTGCGAACCAATCACATGTGAGCACAATGAGGCCACATAACACTACAGAAACACTGACTACAGAAACACTGACTACAGAAACACTGACTACAGAAACACTGACTACAGTAACACTGACTACAGAAACACTGACTACAGTAACACTGACTACAGAAACAATGACTACAGAAACACTGACTACAGAAACACTGACTACATAAACACTGACTACAGTAACACTGACTACAGAAACACTGACTACAGAAACACTGACTACAGAAACACTGACTACAGAAACACTGACTACAGTAACACTGACTACAGAAACACTAACTACAGAAACACTGACTACAGAAACACTGACTACAGAAACACTGACTACAGAAACACCGACTACAGAAACGCCGACTACATAAACGATGACTACAGAAACACTGACTACAGAAACACCGACTACAGATGACTACAGAAACACTGACTACAGAAACACTGACTACATAAACACTGACTACAGAAACACCGACTACAGAAACACCGACTACAGAAACACCGACTACAGAAACACCGACTACAGTAACACCGACTACAGTAACACCGACTACAGAAACACCGACTACAGATGACTACAGAAACACTGACTACAGAAACACTGACTACAGAAACACTGACTACAGAAACACTGAGAGGAGAAAAAACTAACTACAGAAACACTGACTACAGAAACACTGACTACAGAAACACTGACTACAGTAACACTGACTACAGAAACACTGACTACAGTAACACTGACTACAGAAACAATGACTACAGAAACACTGACTACAGAAACACTGACTACATAAACACTGACTACAGTAACACTGACTACAGAAACACTGACTACAGAAACACTGACTACAGAAACACTGACTACAGAAACACTGACTACAGTAACACTGACTACAGAAACACTGACTACAGAAACACTGACTACAGAAACACTGACTACAGAAACACTGACTACAGAAACACCGACTACAGAAACGCCGACTACATAAACGATGACTACAGAAACACTGACTACAGAAACACCGACTACAGATGACTACAGAAACACTGACTACAGAAACACTGACTACATAAACACTGACTACAGAAACACCGACTACAGAAACACCGACTACAGAAACACCGACTACAGAAACACCGACTACAGTAACACCGACTACAGTAACACCGACTACAGAAACACCGACTACAGATGACTACAGAAACACTGACTACATAAACACTGACTACAGAAACACCGACTACAGAAACACCGACTACAGAAACACCGACTACAGTAACACCGACTACAGTAACACCGACTACAGAAACGCCGACTACAGAAACGCCGACTACAGAAACGCCGACTACAGAAACGCCGACTACAGAAACACCGACTACAGAAACACCGACTACAGTAACACCGACTACAGTAACACCGACTACAGAAACACCGACTACAGAAACACCGACTACAGAAACACCGACTACAGAAACACTGACTACAGAAACAATGACTACAGAAACACTGACTACAGAAACGCTGACTACATAAACGCTGACTACAGAAACGCTGACTACATAAACAATGACTACAGAAACACCGACTACAGAAACACCGACTACAGAAACACCGACTACAGAAACGCCGACTACATAAACAATGACTACAGAAACACTGACTACAGAAACACCGACTACAGATGACTACAGAAACACTGACTACAGAAACACTGACTACAGAAACACTGACTACATAAACAATGACTACAGAAACACTGACTACAGAAACACCAACTACAGAAACGCTGACTACATAAACAATGACTACAGAAACACTGACTACAGATGACTACAGAAACACTGACTACAGAAACACTGACTACAGAAACACCAACTACAGAAATACTGACTACAGTAACACTGACTACAGAAACACTGACTACAGAAACACTGACTACAGATGACTACAGAAACACTGACTACATAAACACTGACTACAGAAACACTGACTACAGATGACTACAGAAACACTGACTACAGAAACACTGACTACAGATGACTACAGAAACACTGACTACATAAACACTGACTACAGAAACACTGACTACAGATGACTACAGAAACACTGACTACAGAAACACTGACTACAGAAACACTGACTACAGAAACGCCGACTACATAAACGCCGACTACAGAAACACTGACTACATAAACACTGACTACAGAAACACTGACTACAGAAACACTGACTACATAAACACTGACTACAGAAACACTGACTACAGAAACACTGACTACAGAAACAATGACTACAGAAACAATGACTACAGAAACACTGACTACATAAACACTGACTACAGAAACACTGACTACAGAAACACTGACTACATAAACAATGACTACAGAAACACTGACTACATAAACACTGACTACAGAAACACTGACTACAGAAACACTGACTACAGAAACAATGACTACAGAAACACTGACTACAGAAACACTGACTACAGAAACACTGACTACAGAAACAATGACTACAGAAACACTGACTACAGAAACACTGACTACAGAAACACTGACTACAGAAACAATGACTACAGAAACAATGACTACAGAAACACTGACTACATAAACAATGACTACAGAAACAATGACTACAGAAACAATGACTACAGAAACGCTGACTACATAAACAATGACTACAGAAACACCGACTACAGAAACGCCGACTACAGAAACGCCGACTACAGTAACGCCGACTACAGTAACGCCGACTACAGAAACGCCGACTACAGAAACGCCGACTACAGAAACACCGACTACAGTAACACCGACTACAGTAACACCGACTACAGAAACACCGACTACAGAAACACCGACTACAGAAACACCGACTACAGAAACAATGACTACAGAAACACTGACTACAGAAACACTGACTACAGAAACGCTGACTACAGAAACGCTGACTACATAAACAATGACTACAGAAACACCGACTACAGAAACACCGACTACAGAAACGCCGACTACAGAAACGCCGACTACATAAACAATGACTACAGAAACACTGACTACAGAAACACCGACTACAGATGACTACAGAAACACTGACTACAGAAACACCGACTACAGAAACACTGACTACATAAACAATGACTACAGAAACACTGACTACAGAAACACCAACTACAGAAACGCCGACTACATAAACAATGACTACAGAAACACTGACTACAGATGACTACAGAAACACTGACTACAGAAACACTGACTACAGAAACACCAACTACAGAAATACTGACTACAGTAACACTGACTACAGAAACACTGACTACAGAAACACTGACTACAGATGACTACAGAAACACTGACTACATAAACACTGACTACAGAAACACTGACTACAGATGACTACAGAAACACTGACTACAGAAACACTGACTACAGATGACTACAGAAACACTGACTACATAAACACTGACTACAGAAACACTGACTACAGATGACTACAGAAACACTGACTACAGAAACACTGACTACAGAAACACTGACTACAGAAACGCCGACTACATAAACAATGACTACATAAACAATGACTACAGAAACACTGACTACATAAACACTGACTACAGAAACACTGACTACATAAACACTGACTACAGAAACACTGACTACAGAAACACTGACTACAGAAACAATGACTACAGAAACAATGACTACAGAAACACTGACTACATAAACACTGACTACAGAAACACTGACTACAGAAACACTGACTACATAAACAATGACTACAGAAACACTGACTACATAAACACTGACTACAGAAACACTGACTACAGAAACACTGACTACAGAAACAATGACTACATAAACACTGACTACAGAAACACTGACTACAGAAACACTGACTACAGAAACAATGACTACAGAAACACTGACTACAGAAACACTGACTACAGAAACACTGACTACAGAAACACTGACTACAGAAACAATGACTACAGAAACAATGACTACAGAAACACTGACTACATAAACAATGACTACAGAAACAATGACTACAGAAACAATGACTACAGAAACGCTGACTACATAAACAATGACTACAGAAACACCGACTACAGAAACACCGACTACAGAAACGCCGACTACAGTAACGCCGACTACAGTAACGCCGACTACAGAAACGCCGACTACAGAAACGCCGACTACAGAAACGCCGACTACAGAAACACCGACTACAGTAACACCGACTACAGTAACACCGACTACAGAAACACCGACTACAGAAACACCGACTACAGAAACACCGACTACAGAAACAATGACTACAGAAACGCTGACTACAGAAACGCTGACTACAGAAACGCTGACTACAGAAACGCTGACTACATAAACAATGACTACAGAAACACCGACTACAGAAACACCGACTACAGAAACGCCGACTACATAAACAATGACTACAGAAACACTGACTACAGAAACACCGACTACAGATGACTACAGAAACACTGACTACAGAAACACTGACTACAGAAACACTGACTACAGAAACACTGACTACATAAACAATGACTACAGAAACACTGACTACAGAAACACCGACTACAGAAACGCTGACTACATAAACAATGACTACAGAAACACTGACTACAGATGACTACAGAAACACTGACTACAGAAACACTGACTACAGAAACACCAACTACAGAAATACTGACTACAGTAACACTGACTACAGAAACACTGACTACAGAAACACTGACTACAGATGACTACAGAAACACTGACTACATAAACACTGACTACAGAACACTGACTACAGATGACTACAGAAACACTGACTACAGAAACACTGACTACAGAAACACTGACTACAGATGACTACAGAAACACTGACTACATAAACACTGACTACAGAAACACTGACTACAGATGACTACAGAAACACTGACTACAGAAACACTGACTACAGAAACACTGACTACAGAAACGCCGA